GGGCAGGGGCTGCACGTCGTAGGGCTGTCCCGGCGGCACGGCTGCTGAACGAAGGTGCCTGGCGAACACTGGGCGCACGACAGCCACTCCCGCGTTTCCGCGTCCCGCCATGGGAATGTGGGCGCGTCCGCCGCCCCGCACAGGGCCAGCGCCAGCAGCAGGGCGGCCAGCGCCCACCTTGCAGGCACCCTCATGGTCCAGCTAGAGCGGGGAGACCGTGGCTCAGCGCAGACACCAACGGCGCTGGCCCGCCAACACGCCCGTCCGCCCAAGTCGCTGAATGCAGGCCGAGTCCCCTCCTCCTACGGCCACAGTACACGCTCCCACCCTCAGGCTACAGGGCCCCTACTATATGGGCGGGAACCTGCCCTCCCAGGCAGCCCCCTCCCCCACCTGGTGCCATCTCTTCCGTGAGAGCACCACTTCTCCCCAGGGTTCAGTCCAGGCTTGGGTCGGGTGAAGGCAGCCCAGGTGTTAGTGGATGGAGACAGGCTGAGCCCCAAGTTGATAAACCAGTTCTTGTAGGACAGGTGGGAAGGGGACCCCTGTGGATGCCCTGTCCCTCTAAGCACCCTCAAATCCCACCAAACTCAGGCCACACACTGCCCCAGGCACTGCTAGCAGCTTTATTAGAACTGTCGCCTGATTAAAAGTTGGCACACACCCCGTGAGCTCCTTCCTGGGTGGGAGTTCAGCGGGGATGTTCTGGGATTGCCCTGGGCACCACTCATGACACAGCAGCCAAGGAATGTTCTGGGAAGCACCTTCCAACAGACCCCAGGTAGTTCAGGCTTCTTTTGTGCAGGCCCAGACCCTCCCGGCCTCAGGGGCCAATCACAGCCCACCCATCTGAGACTGCAGGGGCCTGGCAGGTGGGCATGCTGGCCTCCCTATTGGGTGGGCTCTTGCCTGCACCATAGCTGGGCAGGCATGTGTCCAAGCCATGATGGGGTGCCCTGAGGGTCTTCACGGTGCTCACTGGGGCTCTGGCCAGAAGACCTGCATGAGGCTCTGCTTCCTGGAGGCAGTGTGGCAGGCTGGACATGTCCTAGAGACCTGTGGAGACATCAAGGCCATTGGACATACCACCAGGCACCGCTAGTGGGCAAAGGCCCACCCCCCCTCAGCCCACCACCTGGGGTGACACCCAGCAGGGCCTGTAGTGGGCCGGGCACCCACCTGGAGGTGCTGTCGCCAGCAGCCCTGGCAGGAGTGGAAGTTGCAGGAAGGGCACTGGAAGGGTACCACGTCCTCTGCCCTGCAGCCCCCGCATAAGAAGCCTGCTTTGAGGGGCCCACTGTGCACCCCTACAGCCTGCTGCTGGGTGCCACCCCACCCATGAGGCTCACCCCGCTCGGACTGTGTGTGCCTGTGAAAAGGTCCTGGGGACCCACCGGGCCCTGTGGTGGCACTGTCCGCCCCTGCACTGTCTGGGGGCTGCTGCCTGGGCAAAGATGAGATCTTGCTCTGGGTGATCACAGGTGTCTGTGACAGCGAGGGACCTGCAGACATGAGTGAGTTTCAGGGGTGCCAACCCAGAGTTGCAGAGGCGGGCATCAGGAGCACTCAGGCAGGACCCCTACCTGGCTGGGGGGCCCTGTGGGTGGGTGCAGGGGGTACTGTGGAACTCGCCTCCCAAGATCTAGATGGCTGTGTGTCCACAGCCAGGGAAGGCAGGCCAGTCAGGTCCGCACACACCTGTGAGAAGTGCTGCTTGTGGTGTGGACGCACAAACATGCCAAACCCTGTGGGAAGCAACACTCAGACATGGCTCAGTCCCTCCAGGCCCCACCTGCCCACCCAGCTCACCAGCCACCACACCCAGGTCACTTGCTTCGCAGCAGGGGGAAGTCCTCAGGCTTTGAGGTGGTCAGTGCAGCCAGCACAGCCAGCACCTTGTCAAGGTCGTCATCCTGTTTGTAGGCAGTCAGCGCTGCCAGGAGCTGGCCACAGCCAGCAGACCCCAGCGCCCTGCGGGCATCTGCCAGGTAGGTACTTGCGGTGAGCTGGCCCCGCTTCTCTGCTCGGGGGGCTCCGGACCCCACATGTGGGCCACTGCCAGGGTCTCCTGGTGCAGGAGTAGCATGGCTCGGAGGCAGCCGTGGGGGCCAAGTTCCACCCCCCTCCACCTCCCTTTCCTCACGGGAATCTGAAAAATGGTGGCACCTCTCAGTACCACGGAGTGCAGAAAGAAAGCAGCCCACCAGGAGACGCCCCACAGTGATCAGCTACACTGGTAGCTCTGGCTTAAACTGTGAGGCGTGAGTCCCCATGAGTGAAGAGTCCCCAGGGCCTGCATGTCTGGCCAGCCTCAGGAGTCAGCTACCTGGGGAGGCTGGACTGATGGACAGGTGGGGCCCACCCTGGTTCAGGTGCTCTCCGGGATCCAGTTGTCCAGCTGTGGCCTCAGACATGGTCAGCTTGGGATCAGGCTCCCTCCTTCCTGAAGAGACATGACAGCACAAGGAGCTGCCGAGCTGGCTCCTGAAGACCCAGAAGGTTCCCCAGGAAGAGGCTGGTATAGCTAGTGGGTGGCTAGGCCTCACTCCCCACCCAGACCAGTGGGGCACCTTGACATACACATATTGTGGCCAGGCCCACGAAGCCATGCCCTGCTGGAAGGGGCAGGGATTGTTTTTCAGCTGGGAGCCAGCCACAGTTCAGCTCAGGAGCCCTGAACCTTGGGGTGCCATCATGAGACACCCCAGCAGGTACCAGGCCCAGAACGGGGTGGGGAGTCTTCCCCAGAAGCAAAGCCCCTGGTCAGAAGAAACCAGCACCCAGTAGTGCTCCAACCTTGGAGGACCTGGCTCAGCTCCAGTGGAAATGGAAGCAGGAAGGGGCAGGTGTCTGGTCCTAGGTGCTGGTCTCTCCTGGGAGGCCAGGCCCATGGCTGCATGTGGGGGATGGGACTGTACATGGGGGGTGGGGTTGCACATGGAAGGTGGGGCTGCACAGGGTTCAACAGGCTGTCTCCAACAAGTGATGCTGCCTTCTGGTGACCCCATTACCCCTGTGAAGGTGCAGGGAGGCTAGACCAAACAGGGCCTCAGGATGCCCACCCCAGCTACCCCACCTGGCCACCCTGCCTTCCAGATCTGAGTTTGCAGGTCCAGCCCAGGGCCCCTCACCAGTGGGGTCCAAGGCTGGCTGTGCCTGCCGGCTTCGGGGAAGGCTGTGGTCAGGCCAGTGGCTGCAGCCTTGTCCTGTGAGCTGGAGGCAGACCTCTTGGAACTGCCGCTTGTGGTGGGGTCGCATAAACTGGTAGAATCCTGTCGGGGAAGGGGTGTCTGGGATGGAGGCTCAGGACCACAGGCCACCCACCTGCACTCTTCTAGGGAACAAGGACAGCCATGGGCCCTGGTGGCCTGCCCAGCTCTCGCAGCAGCCCCCATACAGCCCCTGCGACCCAGGATACCTTGGAGCAGACTGTGCTTCTTAGGGTCCTCAGCAAAGAGGGGGCCAAGGCAGGCCACCAGGGCTGCGAAGTCATCAGAGCGCTTGTAGTCCTGCAGGGCCTGCGTGAAGGTGTGGAAGCTGGTGGGGCTCAGTACCTGCCTCACGGCCACCAGGAAGTGCTTGGCCCTGCCTGCCTGGGCACCAGCTGCCACCTCATCCTGTGTGGGACATAGGCAAGATGCACCATCAGGGTCAGCCTCATCTGTCCCTGCTGGGCCTGTGGCAGGGCCTTCTTTGGCTTGTTGAAGGTTCCCTGCAACATGGGAACCTATAGGGACCGTGGCAGTGAAACTGCCTGGCTGGGCCAGGTACAGGGAGGGACTGTGGGAGGAGCACTGGGCAGGGAGTCCACACGGGCCCTACATGGAAGATGGCCACAGTCTGCCTGCCACAGTCCCTGAGAGCAAGTGGATAAAGAACAGCCTTGCTCTCCCTCAAGCTGGGGACTCCTGAGGGCCCGTGTCGGCTCCTCCTTCAAGCCCCTACCCACAGAAGGCGCCACTGGCGGGGCAGTAGCTCACAGCAGGACACTTTGGGTGGACAAGGAAACATGAAAACCAAGGCAGGGCGGCCCCAGGCTTTATTCCTGCCCCTGTCCCCACCTGGCCCTGGCTAGGCCCCAGCCAGGCCCTAGACCCTCTCTCAGCAGCCAGCCCACTTCTTGATGGTAGCAGTCCTCCCTGGGCACCGCCCAGTTCTTCCCAGAAGTCAAGGGACGTAGACAAAGACTGTGTTCGGGGCTTTCCACCGCCGGGGGCTTCCTGGCTCAGGCTGCAGCTCCAACAGCTGTCACCAGGGCTGGAATGGGTGGCACCTTCACCATGGGCAGGTTAGCACCCACCCTCAGGAAAAGGCAGGCCAAGCCCAGCACTGCCTCCACAGAAGGAGAACTGTAGCAGCTGCAGGCCGCAAAGCAGATGCGCCACAGGAAGGGAAAACAGGGTATGTGTGCCGCACAGAAAGACCCACAGACTCAAACCCCTGGCCATGTTAGCCAACTCCAGGGCAGCTTTCCTGGTCCTGTCTGGCCCCACCTCAGCTTGGTTAGAGGCCATGGGCACCTAGAGCCCGAGCATCTATGGGCAGCAGCACAGGCTAGGGGGACGCTCACGTACTGGGCAGCTGACCAGTCGGACCTTCCTCCTCCTGCCTCTCTGCTCCTTGGCCAGCCTCTTCTCACACAGGAGGGACTGGGGGACCCGATCGTGTGCCTGAGGAGGACAGGTGGTGGTCCCAACCCACACCCTCAGGCCCCAAAGCACCTGTGACCACCTGGTCCACAGGCAAAGATGGCACCGAGTCTCAAGAACCCTTGACCAGCAGCCGGGACAGAGGTGGGTGGGGGTTGTCACACCCTTGGGCCAGTGCTGCCACAGCCCCTCTCCCATGTCATACCCCACACCTGTGAGTCACAGGTAGCAATGTCAAGAGCAGGTTTGAAAAGATGATGTGATGGCAGGGGACTGATAAAAGGACAACGGTGCCAGCTCCCAGTAACCCAGACTCGCCCAGAGCCTGTGGGGCAGGAGTAGAAGGGAGGGTATGGCTCCAGTGGAAGCAGGGAAGAACATAGGAAGTCTGGGGAGAAGGAGCTTGGGGTGCCGCCCACAGTATGGTCCTGGAGAGAGGCCAGTCCCAGGGGAAGCGGATGATGGGGGTGCCAGAGTGAGGCAGGGCAGGGCCCAGAAGGGGCTGCACAGGGGGCACTGGGCCAGGGCCCCAGGGGATGGAGGATTGTGTCTGTCCCGGGCCCGCACCTGCATCTCCTCCTCGCCAGAGCAGGCCCCATCCCCAGAGCCCCCAGCCCACTGTTCACTGTGTTCCAGGGCGGCCAGCAGGCCTCTTGGCCTCCGTGGGGCACGGACTGGCTCCTGCTCGTACTCCACACACAGGTTCCTCTCGGGGTCCCTGGCAGCTGGTGACCCTGCAGGAGCATCGTGTGGGCAGCAGCACTCGCTGAGGGCCCAGCCATAGGGGGACCCATCCTGGGGCAAGAACCCCATGCCAAGCGATGTTGCCTCCTGGTGTGGCCCTGCACCCATCCCCACTCACCTGAGGACCTCTGCTTCAGGCTGGGGACGTGCAGGTCCAGGCATTTTGCCTTTCCGGTGAAGAGAAGGGGACTGGGTGCCATGGTCCCCTTGGCAGCCTCATCTCCTTCACCTGGACTGGGGGCCACAGACTGGGGGCCTGGAGCCCAGGGGGCTGGGGTGGGCACCTGCAGAGCCACAGGGTGAGGGGCTTGTTTGTCTCTGCGGGAAGAGTACCTGCCCCTCCTGGGTGGGCGGGGGGTGACCACAGGGCTTCAGGAGCTCACTGTTTTCTGAGCAACACGGAAGAACTGGGCCACGTCTCGGATGACATGGCCGAAGCTGTTGTACACCTTGACGTAAGGACGTACCCAGGAGGGCAGCTGTGCTCTGGCGTCAGTGTGGGCAAACCTGGAGGTGGTGTGGCTGTCAGTCCCACTTCAGGCTGCCTCTGCCCTGGTGTCAGGGAAGTGAAGAGCCTCCTCCCAGCAGGAGCCCCGGGCTCAGACTCCACAGGGCCAAGAGGCTGGGAAGACAGGCCTCATGCCAGAAGGTGGGTCTGAGGGTCTAGAAAAGGATAGGGCCCAGCGGGGCAACCAGGCTCCACATACCTGTGGTCACAGAGGAACACAGCCCCATAGTCATGGCGGTGCCGGATCACCCGCCCAATGGCCTGGTTCACAGCCCTGGATGCCTGCTGCTGGTACCACTTCTGCCCTGAGAGGACCTGTGGGAGCAGGGCTGGTCACCAGGGCTCCTTATCTTAACCCAGCTCTGCCCCACCCTGAGTGACTCCCCTGATCCCAGCCCCACCCTAGAGTGACTCACCTGGCCCCCAGGCTCACCCTGGCCCTTCATCTCATCCAGGAACTGCATCTTGAGAACAACTCGAGGGTCCATGCGTGGGGGGTAGGGGAGGCCCGTGACGATCACTCCACGGCCGTTTGTGTCTGAGAAGTCCAGCCCCTCACTGGCCTAGGAGACAGGTCAGGGAGTTGCCTGGGGGCCTTGAGATCTCCTCATCCCTGGTTGTCTACACTGAGCCCGGCCTGGGGTGCACCGCTCACAAGCCACATCCAACTACAGCATGCTAAGAATCTCCTCCTTCCTGCCCTCCCTTGGCCACGAGCAGGTCCCAGTTCCCAGCCAGGGTGATCCCAGCAGGGATACTCCCTCTAATCTGTCTGCTGGACATGGGCCTGAGAGAGGTGACCAGTCCTGTCTTGTCTAGGGCCCAGAGTCTGCTGAGGAACCATGAACTCTCATGAGACAACAGGTGGCCAGTTGGGGGGAGGCTAGAGGACTCACCTTGCCCCGGCACACGGCCAAGAAGGTGGCCCCACTGGAGCCAGGGGAGCTGACCCTCTGGTAGTAAGCATTGATCACCTGTAAGGGGAGGCTGGTCAGCCCAAGCTTGGAGCCCCATCCCTTGGCCCCTTCCACCTCCTTGGGTGAGAGCCCAGACCCTCCAAGATGAAGGATGGTCCCAGTCAAGAAGGGTTGGCATGGATTTCAGGCTGACCCCTACAATGCACCCAGAATTTGCTCAGCGTTCCCAGAAAATACAGGGACCCTGGAGCAGGGTGGCTGGTGGGACCCTCAGATAGGAGCGTTGGCTACCACCAAAGGGTGGCACACCCGGGGTCAGGAAGGAAACAGGCACCCCTCCCAGCCTGGGGGAGGCCATGAGGGCCAGTGGAGGCAAGAGTGGACAGCAGGCCCTGACCCTGGCCAGGTGCAGACCTCGGAAAAGCTGCCCTTGCTCCTGGGCTCCACAAACAGCGGCTTCAGTTCCTCCATCCTCCTGACCAGGTCGTGGGCCTATGGGGGAAGCCAGGACATGGATGCCCAGGGCTCAGGCACACTATCTGCCTGATGGGGGCAGGTAGGGGGCGGCAGCAACAGTCTTCTTTGTGCCCTGGCCCTGCCCCCTACCCTGCCCCACCCTCCGGTCCCAGGAGGACATCCAGGGAGACACACCCGCCAGAACTCCAGGCTCTTCTCCATGACAGGGTAGGAGGGGAAGAAGACCAGGAGCCCATGGGGCACCACGCGGGCGATGTTGCCTGGAAACACATGGCCATGGTCAAGGCAGGGTTCTGGATATCCGCGGAATGGATGTCCTATGGGCTCTAGGGAGTGGGGGCCAAGATGGACACAGCTGGGGCCTGGGTTTCCCAAGGGACATGGGCTCCTGGGTGGGGGACACTTACCCAAGGCCTTCCCCAGGGAGGACAAGCACTCCTCAGAGAACCTGCAGAGCCAGGAAGCCATGGTTCAGCATCCCAGGGCCCCACGGCCCCAGGGCCCAGCCCACATGCCCCAGCCCTGTTTGCCCAGGAGCCCTCACCGCTTGTTAAACGCAGAGCTCAGCTGGGCTCCATCAGGGCCTTTGGGGACAACCCCCACCCAGATCTGGTGCTCACTGATGACATGTGGGTTCTCCAGGCACACAGGGAAAGGGCTGGGCAAGGCCAGGGAGTGAACTGTTGGTGGGGCACAATACACCGCAGCACGCAGGGCCCGAGACCCCATCACCCCAGCTCACAGGATCCCAGCACCCAAGCAGTGGCCCCCTACCCCCACCCTGCTGGCGTCACTAGCACTTAGGCCCCTGGCAGGGGTGGCCATACATCTGCAGCTCCAGAGCAAAGGAGGACACCGGGGCCAGCGTGCCGCTGGTGAGGATGATGCTGCGGACGCCCTGGCGGAGGAGCTCACGCATGCTGTGGCCGGGGCTGAAGCACCAGTAGCTCAGTACCTTCCCTGTGGGGTGGCTATGGGTGAGGGATCAGGCCTGACCGCCCCTCTTACGGTCATCCTCTCCCCCCACCCAGCCTCAGACCTGTGAGGCCCCACCCTGAGCCATGATCAGTCTGCAGGCTGGGGCCCCTTGGGAGCAGAAAAGAGGGCCCAGGAGGACATGAGGGATACCTCAAAAGTCAGCCCACCCAACCCTAAACTTTGCGGAAACTGTGACATGGGCTCAGGGCATGAAACCCACCCACCAAGAGCACACTGGAAGGAAGCAGCATCCACGCTCCCAGCATTCCAGGCGCGGGTACAAAAGGGCAGTGGGAGTTACCAGGAAACAAGAGAGTCTGTGCGAGCCACTGTGCCGCATCAGAAATAAACAAGGTCAGAGGGAAGTTCCTGGAAGTGCCTGACCCACTGGCCGGGTGGCCGTGGGTGTGGGACCCAGAGCGCACAGGCCAAAGTTCTGGAACTTAGCATGAGAAGAATAGCTCTAAGTGCGACTCTAATGTCCAGTCTGAGGTCAGTGGGACAATGGCCTGGAGCCGGAGAAGCCTTTTCACGTTGATGATGACACAAGGCCACTAAGGCCAGACGGTGGGGAGCAGACCACCTCAATGAGCTCATTTCCCGGAAACATCAGCCCTGGGAGTGGCCACTTCTGAGAAGTCACATGACATCAGAGGCCCATGGACCACGGGGCCAGCCCCGGAGCCAGAGCCCAAGCTCCGGCTGCCTCGAACACACGTGGTCTACGGGACCTCATGAATGCCGCATGAGGAGGCACTGTCTCCACCAGGACAGATACTTCCTGCTGAGAGAGGTTGTCATCCAGCAGGGGTCAAGCTGTGACCACATGACCACCCTCACAGTCTTTCCCTGTCCACTTGGACAGGCAAACTCAAATTATAGTGTCCACACAGGTGCCATGGGCTCCTTCTGCTGGGGCCGCATTGTACCATGTGCCATGAATCAGATGGCAGGCTGAGAAAGAATGTTCCTGAGAGGGAAGGGCAGGGCTTGCATATGGAGAGGAGCACCCTAGGTGGCGGCACTCCCAGGCAGTGGTGTGAAACCCTACTCTGGCCACCCTCCACTGAGTTGGACAACACGTGGGGCATGCAGAGGAGGCAGGGACTCAGAGCAAGCTCAGTTCAGAGCTTTGGTGACAGGGTCAGCCAGCACATCTGTACACCCTTCAGATACAAGCCTGAGGCTGAGCGTCTCCTGGTAACGAAGGTGTGTGGAGGGCCCAGCAGGCGCCAGTTGGCCAAGGGAAGGAAGGCCTATACACTGACTGGCCTTGGGCAAGCCAGCGTATCCCAGGCAGGCTGGGTGGGAGGTCTCGCTGGACTCTGGCTCTGCCACCGCCAGTCAGTCAGGAGCCATCGGGCTTTCTCCGAGGTCTCTCTAGCTCCAGTAACTCTGACTTTCAGAGGGGGTGAGGAGGTAGTCCCCAAGAGGGCTAAACACAGAGAAGGTGGCCAGGCCCTGAGGTGGAGATCGGAGTGGGGTGCGGGGTGTGCCTAGTCCTGGCGTGGTGGTGCTGAGTATACACTGAGGTCAGGACTGACGGCCCTGAGGGCCTATACCTTGCTTCCTGGTTGCAGCAGAGCCCCAGGCGTCTGACCGCTGAGCTGTCCTCCGATGACTAGTATCAGGGTGGATGTGTACCTGGAGGGAGGTGGGTAGGTGTCCTGAGGCCCTACCCATCTCCTGGAGGAGACCCTTACCTCTAAGAACTGTGGGACCCCAGCCCTGCCCACCCACCTCCTGGAGAAGGGACCTACCTTATAGGACTGTAAGACCCCCAGCCCTGCCAGGGAACTGGGGCCGCCCTCAGGGGAGTCCACACTGAACACGATCTGAATGGCAGAGGAAGCACAAACTACAGTCAGGAGCCTGGGTGAGAGCTCAGACACCCGTGGTGTGCCCAGGGAATCAGGCCCCAGTCTAGTCCAGCTGGTGCTCAGCACCCAAAAACACCCAGGTCGCCCAGCCTGCCATGTCCTCCCCCACATGTCAGACAGATGCTCAGCAGTCATCTGGCTCCCCTACCCCTGCCATCGAGGCATGGTATGGCCCCAGGCTGAGGGACTGGAGCTCATATCTGCCTCTCCCACCTCCAGGGAAACCTGCAAGCTCTCTGTGCCATCACCCTGGGCCATCTCCACACACTGGAGATGTGGCCGCCTGTAAGACTCTCCAGCTGACTCACCTGGCTCCCCTCTGTGCCCAGCCCAAATTATTCTAGAAACTCAACAATTCCAGCCAAAATCATGGCAGAATTCTCAAAGCATGCAAACAAGCTGACTCCAAAGTTCACTGGAGAAAATGCCAAGATGAGTTTAAAAAGAACAAGAGGGCTGTGTTCTGGCTGGCTCAAGACTTGCTACAAAACCACAGCAACACACACAAGAACAAAAGGATGGAGAGACACCTAACCAACTGGCAGCGGATGGCCGGGGCACTGGGAGAACACGGAGCACTCAGCCCTTCACGTGCCCACAGGTAACCTCAGAGGGACCAAGGCCTGGACACAACACTGCGTTACAGCAGCCTTGTGTGAAAACACCACAGGACAGAACACCTGCCCACAGGAAGCATCTGTTCACCAACCCCATCATGAACATGGAAAGCAGACGGCAGGTGACAGGGAGGGAACATGCACACGGCACATAGACCAATGCTCGGAATTAACAAGCTCTGCACATAAGCGGGAAAAAGATCGCACATGCACCAGGATGGGGCATGGGGGGACGATTCACAGAAGAGGCACCCAAATGGCCAAAACGTGGACAGGACGCCACAGCGAGGACACAACACCCTGCCCACTCAGCCTCACGCACAGTGGGATGGGGGTTTAGGACAAAAGACTTGGAAGTCTGGTGGGGCCCAGCAGGAGCCCAACACTGCCCTCCTCCATCAGGGTCACACACACCATGTTTCCAGGGCTCACCTCAGCACAAGTCCCCAAATCCTCATCCTGGGCCACCCGCCTCATGCTGCCTGGGGTCACTCACTGTCTCCGCTCCAAAGATAGCACTGCTCTCCCCTACCTGACACACCATGTCCCAACAAGAGCGCCAGGCACCTGCAGGTGCTCAGAGGAGCCAAGGATGAGTGAATGCTCAGTCACACATCCTCTGACACAGACATGCCAGCAACCGTGACCACAGTCCCCTAGGCGGGGCGGGGTCGAACCACCTGCCAGGGGCTCCCCAGAGCAGCAGCCAAAGGAAATTCCAAACCAAAGGAAATTCCAAACCAAAGGAGTGAGCAGGGTTTGATTCCAGAATGTGGAGGAGGAGGAAGCTCTCTCCATAAAAGGAGAAAAGGAGCCAGGGAGGCACTCCAGGGAGGGAGGGTCCTGGCTGGCTCACACCCGCCCTCCATGCAGGAGCTGCAGTGCCCACCCGTATCCTCAAAGGAGGGAGAGAGCAGGCTCCCTGAGCCCACCAGGACTCAGGTGAGGTCCGCCTGGCAGGAGCCCAGCCACTCGCTCCAGGAGCCAGACACACTCCAGAAGGAATGGCAGGCGGATCTGTGTGGGCAGCACAAGGGCCTGGGCAGCCAGCAGTCAGAGAGAGGGCAGCGGGGTCTGCCCTGGGATGCCTAACATCCCCTGGGAGGGAACAGGGAGGACAGAGCAGTGTTATCTTGGTAGCCCCAATAGCTGCACAGAGGAGACACTGGCAATTGGGTGGCCACCTGCAGAGGTGGCCAAGGGGGATGCAGGCCCAAGCCCAGGACCGGCTGTCCTCTGTGCCCTCAGCCCCTCCTGGCCCCGCTCAGCATCTGGCTATCCCTGGAGCGTCTAGATTCACACCATGGAAAGAACACTGCACGAAAGTGTGGGCTGGCGTGGGCCTGGGCTCTCTCCTAGTCTCCCCAGCATGAGCACTCACGGAGCCATCACACAGCCAGGCAGCCCTGCCAAGCCCACTGTGACCTTGAGCTCATGCCTGGAGGTGCAGTGTGGGTGGCAAATGGAGGTGGCTGCCTATGCTTCACCAAGAGCCGATGGTCCCACTGTCAGGGCTCCTGAGTGTCTACTTCTAAAGTCCTCCCCAGGCCCAGGAGAGGCAAAACTGTAACCAGAGACCCCAAAATACCGGCCATGCCTTAGCCACTCTGCCAGCAGCTCTCCAGCATGGAGGCCAGTGCTATGTACACATGAGCAAGGAAAGTGCTCAGCTGCCAGGAGCCCTGGAGAGAAGGGGCAGAAGGGGCCTGGAAAAGGGGGGCAGAGTTGTGTTCCCCCTTCTGCCCACGGGCTTATGAACACAAGACCCACAGGATCTGTCTGTCTCCCAAGAAGCTGCTCAGAAAGTCATGGGTCTCTAGAAGCTCTCCACTGGGGCCCACAGGAGCTGTGAGGTGTCAGTATCAGCAAGGTTCTGCTGGCTGGAGGAGCCTGGGCAGGATAGGCGTGGCCCTGGCACTCACTCTCCTTGGGATCTTCACCAACCAGCGCAACCCTTCAGTGATTGGCCATTGAACAGCCAAGTGTGGTCCACTGCTGCCCTCCCAAGGGCTTACTGTGTGGGTTTAGGGCCTAAGGGCTTACTGGCCAGAAAAACAGTATAAGTCCCATTCCGAGTGTAGACAGGAGTGCCTGTCCAACCCACACCAGGAATGGAGATGCCACATAGGCACATGCAGGCCCTACCTGGATGATGTCAGCGAGCTTCTGCAGTCCAGCCGTGTTGGTGAACACTCCAGCACCTGCAAGGTGGCCAGGAGCTAACACCCACAGCACAAGGGGAGGCCCTGACCCTTCCACATCCCACTGCAAGTCAGCACAATCGAGCTTGATTTCATGCCCAATGGGGCAACTGGCTTCTCTGTACCCAGCACAGAATGCGGGGTCTGCTCAGGGAGGGCAGCTTGTCTGCTCTGCCCAGCAGTCAGGGGGAAGCCAGACAGGGACAGTCTCCAAGGGGGTCAGTGGGACTCAAACGAGGCTCTGTGGTCAAGTAAGTGTCGGAGCTACCAGAACCGCCTTCCCCAGCACCCATGAGCACAGCAAAGACCCCACTGGGTCTTGCATTTCCAACCCCCCTGAGACCTTACTTAGCAGAAGTCAGTTCCACAGAGTGACCGTGGGGATGCTGCCCCAGGAAGTCCTCTGTACCTCACAGCTCAGTGGTGTGGACAACCTGCTGAGGTTGCTGGCAGCTTTTCTTGGAGGGACTCACTGGGAGAGGCCGCGGGGAGAGGTGCTGGTGTGGAGCTGAACACGCTCTGCAGCGTGACCAGGCAGCACCAACGCCAGCGCATCCCGACCAGAGCCCAGCTCTGTGCCCCAACCCTCATTGCAGGGAGGGTGCCAGTGTCACCAGGAGAGCTGTGCTGAGTGCCCGGTGGGCACGGGGCTGCAACATTGACCGGACGCCTGCCCTGCCCCCCATCTGTCTGCATTGAAGGCCCTAGCCCGACTCACGTCCTGCCAGGTGCTGGATGATCTGGTCCAGTGAGTCTAAGATGCAGCCCTTGGTCTGAAATGTGATCTGGGCTTCCGCAAACAGCTCGAAGATGTAGCTACAGAGAAGAAAACAACTCAAGCCGCAGTTCTGGGAACTGCAAGCAGATGGCTTCGAGTTTCCTTCACTCAGAAACAAATTCTAAACCCTCATGGGGGCCAGAATTGGAGGTGAGAGGCCTCTGCCCAGGAGCCTGCAGGTGGAGGGAGATCAGCCCTGGCATGGGAACCCCAAATCAAGGAAAAGACAGAGCACCAGGGAGAGGGGCTGCCGGGGGGGGGGCATCAGGGGCTCCCTAGGGTGGTGGCTCTGGCAGGGTCCTCAAAAGCTTTGGAAAGTGACTTGGGGGGTGATAGCAGAAGCTACAGGAGGGGAACTTGGGGGGCAGGGTGGGGCAACCCAAGGGCCAGGGCAGAGCCTTGAATGTTGAGCTGAGAAGTCTGGCTTCATCTGGGAGCACCTGGAAGTCCCTGTGAGGATCAGAACCAGGGGAAAGACGGCTGGCAGGGGAAAGCAGCCAAATCCAAGGCCCAGAACACGCTCTGCCCATGACACATGCAGGCTGGGGTTCCAGCATCTGCCCACAGGACAGGCAATACACCCTGCTGCCCTGGGTGCTGAGAAGACAGAGTCCTGTGGGACTCAGAACATTCCAGGCCTCCTGGAGTCCTAAGAAGGGGTGGTTGGGACATGGATCGCCCTCACCAGAAGGTCTCCTTGTAACAGACACCTACTGTACGCAGGGGGCTGGACCAGGGTTGGGGCCAGAGGAGACATGCAGCTCTGTGTGGGCATGAAGGTTGGTCCTCCTAATGTCTCAACAACCAAGTGAAAAGTGTACAACCCCTCCTGAGTCTCAAAAATTGGAAACAGACCTCACTAATGTGCAAAGGCCCAGGACTGGGCAGGAAGTGCCAGGTAGAGCACCATGGGGACAGAGCACAGCAGGGGCAGAGTGCTGCAGGGACAGAGCACCGCAGGGACAGAATGCTATGGGGATGGAGTGCCACAGGGAGAGAGGGCTGTGAGGAAAGCACCCGGGCACCCACTGCCATTTCTGACCCCAGGCAGGGCCAGGGTCAGGGGCCAGCTCCATTTCTCACCTCCCAGGCTTGGTGATCCCGCTGTTGTCTCCTGGCAGCTCCACAGCATCGATGGCCCCTTCCAGGTGAAGCAGGATCACTGTGGGTGAAGGGGTATCAGAGGCAGCCCCCCATCAGCTGCAGGGAGGAGGGCAGGTGGCACTTACTCTTGAGCTTCGCGATGTCTTCCAGCCCCATGTTCAGCCCTGGCAGGAGAGAAAGAAGGCACAAGTCTGCTTCTTGCCAACTCCCCACCCATGTCCTTGAGGCCAGGACTCTTGCATGGAGGGGAGAACACGGGTATGAGAGGCGACCACGTGAAACCTGCCTTCCAGATTTGAACTGGAAACAACAGTATACATTTGAGAGGTGTTTCATTTTTAGAAATAACCCAGGGATGTTCTTCCTAGCTCTGCCCACTAAGAAAACCAAAAGCAGCAGCAAACCCAGTGACAAGTGGCAGCCCAGTGGCTACTGTCACTCTTGACAGACCCACTCCCACTAGGAAGATCCAGGACTTCCTGGAGACCTGGCTGACTCCAGGTCTGGTACTCCCAGACGGTAAGGCCTCAACTTCCAGGGTCACATCGAAAGGACGTGGTGATGTGAAGATACCGACAGTGAAATGCAGGAATTCAGTGATGAGATTTACAGGGACTGAAACAGTCACATGCACTTGAGACATGCATTCATTTGATGACCTTCTAGAAACCACCACCCCCCGACAATGACAAGGAACCGAAAATAAGCTGGAATTAACTCAAACTCCCACATGTGCAAATCAGGAAAATAAAGGGAAAAAGCCAAGCACTGATCCTGCTGCTCTACACAAGTGGTGTTGCCACAGAGCTGATGCTGTGAAGAGCATAAGACTATACCTGCAGCTGGAGGATAGCATTCGTTCATCACCATCTTAGACTTCCTGATAATTGCAGTGCAGGCCCTGAGCAGCCACAGTGTCACCATCAGGGAGGAATGCAAAGGCGACACTGTGAGCCTCCTGGGAGCTAGGTCTCACCCAGAGGCCAGTGCAGGGACGCACCTGGTCTGACTGAGGCTGAATCCAGCTCAGCATGCACCTTGCAGGATGGGCAGCACCCCAGGCATGCAACCAGCAAGAGTCAGACTGCAGCTAAGTGGCCTGGCTTCTCCAACAAATAAGCTGTGAGGAGGATAGCAGAGGGGGACGGGTCTTCGGTTCCAGTCCCGAGCAGGGCAGAGGAAGTACAACCTCCCACGGTCCCACTGGCTACAACGAAGAGCCTGCAGCAGAGGGGGGCTGCTTGTTTCCTGCATGTTCTAGAACCTGCCGCACAACCAAGAAACCCCAATGGGTACAAGCCAAAGCAGCCCCAAGAAAACTCCACTCTCTCTAGCTGAAGGGCCAGCAAGAGGACCACCCCACTCTAGATGAACACGACTAAGAAGCGCAGGCTACCCCCGCCCTACCAGGTGCTGTGGCCATGGAGACCAACCACCAACATTAAGCAAAGAGATGGCGTCCTCCCCTCCCAAAGGATGAGCTGTGATGGTGTGGGAAAGAGCCCTGTCTCCTTCCCACCCAGTGCGAGGGAAGAAAAGAGGCAGCTAGAAGGTGGGGGCAGAGGATCGTAGGGAGGAAGGAAGATAGAGCAAAGGCTTCTTTAATCTGCATATGAAGTCTCAGGCACTGTCCCCTACAGGGGTGCCCCTGAGTGAAAGCTTTAAGAGCTGAACATGGTGTGTACAACTCCCAGAGCAGACTGGCCTGAGGGTGGCAGGTGGGCTGGTGAGAATGGCGCCTCATGGAGGTGGAGTGCTAAACGGCTTTTCCAACCACAGCCCACCAGAGTCGCCAGGAAATGCAATTCTGAATCCATACAGGCAGACGGCCTGCTAAGCAGATTTAAATGAGAACTATAAGTATTCAAAATGTCCAAGATATAACCCAAAATTGTTTGTCATAAAAAAATAAATAAACCTCAGGAATATCTCAACTCGAATGAGACCTGGCAATCGGCAGATGCCAACTTCAAGAGGACACAGATGCTGAGATTCTCTGACAAGGATTTTTAAAGCAGCCATCATGAAGATGCTCCAACAAGCAATCATAAACACTCTTGAAAAACAGGAGATCAAGTACAGTGGCCCATGCCTGTAATCCCACTTTGGAGGTGAAGGAGAGAGGACTGCCTGATCCCAGGGGTTCAAGACCGGCCTAGACAACTTGGTGAGACCTCATCTCTACAATAAACCAAAAAATTAGCCAGCCATGCTGGTGCATGCCTATAGTTCGAGCTACTCGGAAAGCTGAGGCGGAAGGATCCCCTGAACCCAGCAGGTCAAGGCTGCAGTAGCCATGAGCATACCACTGCACTCCAGCCTGGGCAACAGAGTGAGACTCCAACTCAAAAAAAAAAAAAAAAAAAAAAGAAAGAAAGAGAAACGCAGAAAGCCTCAGTAGAGAACATGCCCAGAAGGACCAAGTGGAAATTTAGGACTACAAAACAATGGCCAAAAGGTAAAGTTAAATGGATGGGATCAACAGCAGAATGGGAATAGCAGAGGAGGCAGTAGTGATCTTGAAGAGACTTATGAGATTATGCTGTCCAGGCAACAGAGAACGTAGGCTGAAAACCCACAATGAGCAGGTCTTCTGGGACCTGTGGCACAAAGGCAGATCCAACACACATGTCAGGGCCTGAGGAGGGGAAAAGTGTAGGACTGAAAGATGTTAAAAAAGAATAGCTGGGGCCAGGCTCGGTGGCTCAACCTGTAACCCCAGTACTTTGGGAGGCCGAGGTGAGTGGACTGCCTGAGCCCGTGGGTTCGAGATCTGCCTGGGCAACTTGGTGAGACCTCATCTCTACAATAAATCAAATATGAGCCGGGTGTGGTAGCGCGCGCCTGTAGTTCCAGCTACTTGGAAGGCTGAGGCGGAAGGATCGCCGGAGCCCAGCGGATTGAGGCTGCGGTGGCCGGTAGCAGCCACTGTACTCCAGTCTGGGTGACAGAGTGAGACTCCAACTCAAAAAAAAAAAGAATAGCTGGATGGGGCTCGGTGGCTCAGCTTGTAATCCCAACACTTTGGGAGGCCGAGGTGAGTGGATTGCCTGAGCCCAGGGGTTTGAGACCCACCCAGGCAACTTGGCGAAACCTGGTCTCTATAATAAATCAAAAATTAGCTGGACGTGGTAGCGCACACCTGTAGTTCCGGCTACTTGGAAGGCTGAGGCGGAAGGATTGCCGGAGGCCAGCAAGTCAAGGCTGCGGTGGCCAGGAGCGTGCCACTGTACTGCAGTCTGGGCGACAGAGTGAGACTCCAACTCAAAAAAAAAACCAAAAAGAATAGCTGAAAGAAAACAGCGGCCACAAGCTGAGAAAACGCAAAGAACGCCACACCAAAACACAGCAGAACCACACTGCTAAATGTGACAGGCAAAGAAGAAAACCTTTAACTCAAGAAAAATGATGAATTGCCAACAGGAAATAACAGTCTAAATGGCAGTGGACTTCTTATCAGAAACCAGAGGCCAAAAGCCAGTGGAACAACCCGGTTCAAACACCAAAAGAGCCATGAACCCAGAATTCCATATTCAGCAAAAACAGGTTTCAGGAATGAAGCAAAATAAAGACATTCTCAGATTAAAGAAAACTAAGAATTGTCACCAGCAGTCCTTCTCTAAAAGAAGTGTTTTAGGGCCGGGCACAGTGGTGCATGCAGTAATCCCAGCACTTTGGCTGAAGCAGGAGAATTGTTTAAGGCCAGGAGTTCAAGGCTGCATGCAGTGAGCTATGACTGCACCACTGCACTCCAGCCTGGGTGACAGAGGCAGACCTCATCCCTACATAAATATAATTAATTAAATAAATAATTAAAACATTTTAAAATAAAGAATTGTTAAGCACAAATAAGTGGCAACTATGTGAGGTAATGAGTTAGCTTGACTTAACCATTCCACAACGTATACATATTTTAAAACATCATGTGGTACACAAAAATATACATAATTTCTACTTGTCAATTAAAAAATAAGAAAAATGTATTAAAATGAAATAATTGGTCAGGCGTGATGGCTCACACCTATAATCCCAACACTTTGGGAGGCCAAGGTGGGAGAATTGCTTGAGCTCAGGAGTTCAAGACCAGCCTGAGCAACATAGCAAGACCTGGTCTCTACAAAAAAATTTTTTACAAATTAGCTAGGTGTGGTGGGTCACACCTATAATCCTAGTACTTTGGGAGGCGGAGGCAAGAGGATTGCCTGAGCCCAGGGGTTCAAGACAAGACTGGGCAACTGGGTAAGAGCTCGTCTCTTCAATAAATCAAAAAATTAGCCAGGTGTGGTGGCATATACCTGTGATCCCAGTTACTTGGAAGGCTGAGGCAGAAGGATCACCTGAGCCCAGCAGATCAAAGCTGTGGTGGCCATGAGTGCCACTGCACTCCAGACTGGGCAACAGGGTAAGACTCCTGCTCAAAAAAAAAAAATTCAAAAAATTTGCCAGGCATGGTGGTTCGCACCATAGTCCCAGTTATTCAGGAGGCTGAAGGAGAAAAATTCCTTAAGTCCAGGAGGTCAAGGCTGCAGTGAGCCGTGATCATGCCACTGTACTCCATCCTGGGTGACAGTAAGACCCCAACTCAAAAAAAAAAAGAAGTTAACGTTCTAAATGTCAACCTGAACAGTGGACACAGCTCCTCTGCAGGGCTCCATGCTGACAGCAGCTCTGCCTCGGGCGGGAGATGCTGCCTCCCCACCTGGACTCCTGGCTGTAAACTCACCTGGGCTGGTGGAATCTGCACTGAACTCCAGGTGGAGCTCGCTGTGCTGTGCTGCCTTGGTCTGTTCCTCCAAGACCTGGTCTATGACATCCAGTCCTGACGCCACGTCATGGGGGGTCAAGTCAAAGGACGCTGACTCCTCACACATCTTTTCCTGAGGGTCCAAATACACCCACATCACAGCAGAGCAGGACAGAATCAGGGGTCTCAGGAGGCAGAAATGGGGGCAGGGATGTAGAAAGCACAGGGGCTGAGAGCTGAGTCCCTAGAGCCATGCCCCATAGCACCTAGGGCAGGCACAAGTTGGTCCAAAGATGTGTGGCCAGTATTTAAAACAATATTGAGGTCAGGCTCAGTGGCTCAGCCTGTAATCCCAGAACTTTGGGAGGCTGAGGCGAGTGGATTGCCTGAGCCTGTGGGTTCAAGACCAGCCTGGGCAACTTGGTGAGACCTCATCTCCACAATAAATCAAAAATTAGCCGGGCATGGTAGCATGCGCCTGTAGTTCTGGCTACTTGGAAGGCTGATGTGGAAGGAACACCAGAGTCCAGTAGGTCATCACTGGGGTGGCCATGAGTGTATCACTGCACTCCAGTTTGGGTGATAGAGTGAGACTCCAACTCAATAAATAAATAAGAATAAAAACAATATTGAGTTGTCAGTATTTCTTAATTGCAAGATTTCCCTTTTACAATCTAGAGTTCTGGTTTCTCTCAGAAATCAGCAGACCTGGCTCACTGTGTCCCATGGCAAAAACTGCCTGAAACCAAGTAGGGGCTGTGGGCGGTCACTGAGGTCCCAGGGCACCAGGCCCTAGAGTGGGAGCCACATCCAGTGCCACTCTGGCCACAGGCAGGGTGGGATTGTGGCAGAGGTGTGATGAGAAGTGACAGATGGAGCTGGGAGGGCCTCCGTGGGCCACTCCTGCTGCGGCAGCCACCAGGGAAGCAACTCTCTCCAAGACAGCCCTCCCAAGGGTTAGGCCAAGTGCCTGAAGGGCAGAGACACTACAGGAGAGGCCCAGCCTATCATTGCCTGGTGACGGAAGCCAAGGGCAGAGTGAGACAGTCCCAGGCCAGGCTGACCCCACCAGCCAGCCAGAAGGAAAGGGCTGCTGTGGGGCTGTGTGTCTTGTGCCCAGGGGCAGGTCCACAGCCAGCTGGACAGTCTTAGGCCCTGCAGAGGCACCAGGCTGGGGGCCGGTAGCAGAAGCATCTGGGTATGCCAAGTCCTGAGCACCCAGAGCCCCTCTTGAAAGGTCTGCATCTTCTCGACAAAGAAACTAGAAGAAACAGGAGGCATCCAGAACAAGGCCAGAGAGACTTACCACATTGTGAGCTTCATCAAAGATCACAACCGTTCCTTTCAGGTCCACATTGTGTGCCCTGCGGCTCTACAAAGAAGACAGGAAGGGGTTCAGGGCTGGAGCCAAGCAGGACAGGGACCCACTGAGAGCACAGGTGCATAGAGGCAGGGAAAGTGGGAAGCCGAGGCCTGCGGCAGGCACCAGCATCACAAGCACCTACTGCAATGCTGCTGGTGAAGATGGGGGCAGGCCCTCTCATGTTCATTGGGAGAGCAGCTGGTCAAGGCTAGTGTGAAATGGCAACCTGGCAACACCACCCAGCAATAACCAGCGGCCCACTGCTAAGAGTCTGTTCTGGGGACACTCTCCTGCACAGCAGGAGTCAACCCAATGGCCACGGATACTGTGGGAGCCCAGGTCACAGCAGCCAGGCAGCCACAGAGGTGGGGAGCCCAGAGGGGCCAAGCCTGGCAGTCCTGCCCTGGCACACACTCAGGGAGTCAATACTCCAATATCCAGGTCCTATCCAGAGTGAGAGGAAGGGGTCTGGGGTGGGGTCCACTTTGGTACTGTTCTTAACTCAATTTAAAGCCTAATCTTCATACAATGAAATGCCCACTCTAAGTGAGTTTTGACAAACGTGCACCGTGTAACCACCAGCACCCGCTGCCTTTCCTAGATGGTCAAGGGTGGACTCCAGCAGGTCCTCCTCACACCAGCCTTTGGGCTAGCGTGTCTGCAACTCACAGCTTCTGCCTTCTCATCGCTAGGTGCTTTACTCTATGGAGACACCACGACTTGTGTTTTCCCCATTGACGGTTCACAAGTTGCTCTCAGAAATTCTAAGTGAAGCTCTGGGGAACGTGCCATACAAGTCTCTGAACAATGCGCTTAAGTCTCTGGGCTCAGTCATGGTAGTGTCCGCAGGGCAGCAAACTGCTTTCTGATCGCCAGTAAGCAGGAGTCTCCCAGCTGCTAGCTCCTCTCCCAGTGCTGCTGAATTTTCTGGCTTCACTTGTTAGCCATATGCAGCATCAGCTCCCTGAGGCTCTGCTCGATACTCTCCAGATGACCAATGAGCATCCATCTGGGTAAAATGTCTGCCCAGATCTTCTCCCCATAGCTAACCGGGCTGTTTGCTTAGTTGTGAGAGCATTTTAAACACTCTGCTCAAAAGTTCTTTGAGGCCATTGCCAGGCCATTGTGGCCACTGCCTTGCTAAGCTATGATGCGGCCATGTGCTCTTTAAGCTATGGTCAAGTCATGTTTTCTAAAGCTTGGGTCCCCTCCCTTCCCTTGGGGAGATGAATCTCCTTTTTTTCACTCTCTTTCTAATTTACTTTCTAAATAAACTATATTTTCTAATCTAACTTCTGTGCAATTCTTTGCATCTTTCATGCGGCACCAGATTGCACATCAGACACCCACACCCTTGGCGGACCTAACTTAACATTCTGGAGGCCCCACTGGGAGTGTGCCCTAACATTTTTGGAGGTTCCACCGAGATGTGACGTAACATTTTTGGAGATTCCACTGTGACCCTAACACATCAGAAATTTGTCTAGCTTCTGATTAATCTGTTGAGAAGTGGTTTTCAGAATCACGAGTGAGTCCTTCTGCATTATCTTTGAACAATAGACTAGATGATAAATTACATATATATATATATATATATATATATATATATTTGAGTTGGAGTCTTACTCTGTCACCCAGACTGGAGTGCAGTGGCCGCTCCCGGCCACCGCGGCCTCCACCTGCTGGGCTCCAGCGATCCTTCCACTCAGCCTTCCAAGTAGCTGGAACTATAGGCGCGCGCTTCCACGCCTGGCTAATTTTTAAAAATTTATTGTAGAGATGAGGTCTCGCCAAGTTGCCCACACGGGTCTCAAACCCACGGGCTCAGGCAATCCACTCACCTCAACCTCCCAAAGCGCGAGATTACAGGCTGCGCCACCGAGTCCGGCTAAATTACATATCATTAATGTGGGAGGAAGAAAACAAGACTGCCTTGTCTGCTCAAATAGAAAAACACCAGGTGGAAGATATCAAACAAATTACCATTGCATAACATGTATCAGTGAATGTGCAATGCAAAAAAAAAAGAAAAAAGTCCTTTGAAAAACGGAAGCATTTCTCCCTTCTTGTGACTGCCTTTTAATTTTCTAAATTTTCCAATTTCTCGGAAGTAAAGCATGAACTTTTGGTGAAGTTCAATTTTTTTTCATGGCAGCACAAGGATTTATTAGGATGTGACTTAATACAGGCACTGGGGCTTGCCCATGGTGTTGTTGATGTGTAAGGCCTGAACCTTCCACCAGTTCGAGGGCAATGACACCAGAAAGGTAACAGCCAGGTGGATGCCATATACAAGCTCACTATCACTCATCTTTGCGTGGCCAGGACCACACCCAGAGATAGCACCTTCCTCATCTGGAATTTGATGTGGACGTCACCTCACCAGCTTTTCTATCGTGTAACAGCAGGGAAGGAACTCGCCAGCCTTGCTGAGGGCAAGGCCAAGGACTCGTGGGACCTATGTCATCTGAGACTCTGAGGCCAGAAAGGCATCATACTTCTTGGCCCACATCTTGACCAGCTTCTCATTCTTGCTGAGCTTCTTAGAGCCTCAGTGTCCATGTGGTGGATGTCCGGAGCCCTGGCCTTGTCCCTCAGGCCAAAACCAGAGAGCCTGAGGCAGGCTGGACTTGAGCCTGACAGCTCCCGAGGAGCCCTTGTCCTTCTGGAGTCCCAGCTCTCCAGGAGGGTCTGCAGCACCACTATCTCTAAACCTTTCAGCGCCTACACTGAGGTCTGGCCAGGACTTCCTGTACCATCTTGCACAGCATGAAAAAAAAACCTTTTTTTTTCTTAATGGCTAGTGCCTTAAGTATCCAAGCTAAGAAACCTTGGTCGACCCCAAAGTTGTAAAGACTTCCCCCCATTTTTCCTTCTAGAATTTTTAGTTTTAGCTTTTAAATTTAGATTTACACATTGTAAAGTAAGGGCTAAGATTCACTCTTTTCCAAATGGATATCCGGCTATTCCACACACCCCCCCCCCACCTTTTTTTTGAGTCTGGGTCTCACTCTGTCTCCTAGGCTGGAGTGCAGTAGCATAATCACAATTCACCGCAGCCTCGACCTTCTGGGCTCAGGTGATCCTTTCACCTCAGCCTCTCAAGTAACTGGGACTATAGGATGTACCACTACACCTGGCTAATTTTTTAATTTTTTTGTTGAAACAAGGTCTTGCTATATTACCTAGGCTGGCCAGTACCATTTAAAAAACAAGCAAACAACTCTCCCTGTCCCATGAATCACCACAGCACACCTGCTGACATTGTCCTTGCACTGTGTGGGTCTGTCTGGATGTGTGCTTGCTCCCCCGAGCTGGGTGTCCACCTGTGATCCAGCACAGTCCCTAGCACTGCAGCTGTGCAGTCACCCCAAGGTGAGGGAGCAAAGTCTCCCAGCGCTGTCCTTCACAACCATCTTGCTCTTTCAGATCTTCTGCATTTCCATGAGAAGACCAGGATTGGCTCGTCAGCTATGTTATTCTGTTCTGGTTGGGACCTGGCTCTGGAAGCTTGCCAGGTGGTTCTCACAGACAGCCAGGGTTGAAAGCACAAAGGATCACCCTTAACCACAGCAAAATGCACCAGCTCTCTGGGCCTCAAATCTGGCCACTGCCCTCATGGGGCTCTGCCATGGTCCCCGAGCTGCCTGCCCGCTCTGCCCTCATCAGGCATCCCCTGGCTCACTCTGCAGCATCTAGCAGAACCATCAGTGTCTGCCATCTCCCACAGTACTCTCACTAGGGCCCTGCTGGGCGTCCCTCTTGTCCACTTGCTGTCTCCACCACCTCATTCTGTACTGTTTCCTTCATGACCCCTAACAGCCATCAGTTCACATGCTTACTCTTTTGTTGTATATCTGAGCACCCCCATCCCCAGTCCAAACTCCACATGAATGAGGCTGGTTTTACTGCACCTCAAACAGCACCCACGACAGTGGGTAGTGGATAAACAGCAACCCCGGAAATGATCATATGGACAAAGGGATCTGGAGAGGAAGATACAATCATTATGCAAAAGCTCACGTCACAGAGTGAGTACGTGGCATGTGATCCCACCTGCACTGGAAGGAGGGCACACAAGCTGCAGGTGCCCATGGTGCCAGGACAGTGCCACAGGCGGGTCTGGGCTCCCTGTTCCTTCCAGACTGACTCAAAAGAGAGGCTGAGTTATCAGTACCAAGGGCAGACCCTGGCCCAGGGTCTCCTCACTCCCACCAGCTGCCCCTCCCAGGTTGCTCAAAAGGACCCATTCACAGCCTTGGGCTGCTCACTACTGATGGCTGGGCTCTGAGCCCAGCAGTGACAGTTCCTACTGCCCACACCTGCAGCTTGGAGGGCCTGAACCAGCAAGGGCTCCACAGTTCGGCCAGCCCCTCCTGAGCCCAGGGACACCCCCTTGATGCCAGGAAGCAGTTACACATTGAGTCCTCACCTTGGAGTCCAACAAGTAATTGTAGGGCATAAAGATGATGTCGGCTTGCTGCCGCAGGTTCCGAGAGAGGTAATACGGGCATATCCTGCAGAGGAGAGCAGAGGGAGCAGAAGGGCTGGAGGCATGCAGGGGCTACTACATTCCTGACCCAGAAGAAGCCCTCTCCCAGCACATGGGTCCTTGGCGGCAGTTGGTGCCAGGACAGACAGGGAGGCCATGTGAGGCTTCAACCTTGTGAAGGCATCAGTTATGCTAAGATTCCATGAACAAACAAAATACTCAGTCCTACTCCTGGATGGAAGTCACCAGAGACAAAACAATACAAGAAAGCCTTTCCTGTCACAACTTGCATCCCCGAAGCTAGAAAGAGGAGGGCGGTTCTGTTGTGCCAAGAGGAACAAGGCAGGCAGCGCAGCGTCTGCATGGAGAGCTGTCCACAGTACTGAGTGAAAAACAGCAGACCAGGAGAGGGGCATGTAAACACATGAGCATGTTTCTACTCAGATACAAAAGACTGGCAAGGGCTCACCCACACATGTGAGGGGTCACCTAGGCTGGGCTAGGTGACCTTTACTTTATATACCTCAGAATTGCTTAAGTTTTTTCATATTGAACACCTGTAGTCCCAGCACTTTTGGGAGGCTGAGGTGAGAGGATCAGTTGAGCCCAGGAGTTTGAGGCTACAGTGAGCTACGATTGTGCCACTGCACTCCAGCCTAGGTGACAGAGCGAGACCTTGTCTCTTAAAAAAGAAGGAAAGTAGCCGGGCTCAGTGGCTTAGCCTGTAATCCTGCACTTTGGGAGGCTGAGATGAGTGGATTGCCTAAGCCCGTGGGTTCGAGGCCCACCTGGGCAACTTGGCAAGACCTCATCTCTACAATAAATCAAAAAAATTAGACGGGCGTGGTAGCACGCGCCTGTAGTTCCAGCTACTTGGAAGGCTGAGGCGGAAGGATCACCAGAGCCCTGCAGGTCGAGGCTGCGGTGGCCGGGAGCAGCCACTGCACTCCAGTCTGGGCCACAGAGTGAGACTCCAACTCAAAAAAAAAAAAGAAGGAAAGAAACTAACGACTGCTCAATATGAAGAAAAGAAAAGAAATATATCCATGCTCCTGCACATCATGGCAAAGTCCAGTCACGGAAGGACACAATAGCCACGGCCTCTCAGGAAGGAGCCTCACCTGTGCCTGTTTCCACTCTTGACCAGGTCCTCAATGTCCAGGATGGGAGTGGTCAGCTCCTGCTCCAGGCTTTTCTCTGTGGGTACGAGGCAGAAGTAAACACACACCCTCAAGGTCCATTGTGAGTCTGCCAGACCCCAGGGGACACCCACGACAAAACAGATCCTACACAGTGGGCAGTGTGAGGCATCCACCACCCGTGAATGTATCAGAGAATCCAAGGGAGGCCTCCCAACCAAGCAATCTCCAAGGGAATCTTGCCCTCCAGAAGGCAGGCACCAACCTGAGGCTGAGGATTAGTCACAGATAGATGCCAGCACTGTCCCACGGGTCCCATGCATCCTCTCACCCCAGACAGTCCCAAGACAGGACAGGAGTAGCCACCACACCTAACCCTCCGGGAGGCAGGGAGGAACAACCCCCAAGTCTCTTCCCCCAGCCCACAGAGGGATCTCCCATAGCCCCTGGAGATGTCTATCTTGTGATTAGAGCCACCATCCCTCAGCTACCAACTAACCACCACAAGCCCAGGCTCCAAGGCAAGACACACGACTGCAGCTGGGGCTCAGCAGTATCTGAGGCAGGACACAGGCAGGGGCACCAAGGCAGAGACCCTCAATCCCAGTGTGACGGTCAGGCCTGCTCCTGCCCACTGGCTAAGCAGTAGCCCATCCCTTTCTCAGGATGGCAGTCCTGGGGACAGGCACTACTCATGCTGGTGAGACCCAGGGTAGAAAGGACTTCAAGGATTCTCATGAGGGAACTGTCCTCCCTCTCCATCACCCCATGACACAGGTCCCCAAACCAGAGCTGCAAGGATCCCTTGGAGACCTGGTTAAATGCAGGAAGGACCAGGGACATCTTCTAACAAGTACCCCAGAATCTTAGGGCAGCCACGTGTGGAAATGGGGCCCCCCAGCTCTGTCATGACTATTTTGTGCCTACTCTCAGCAGGTGCCAAATCCCTCAAGGGCAGGACTGAGGACCAGCCCTTAGTGCAGAGACCAGCGCACACACACACACACCATCATCATCCAAGTCCGAAATGCCCCCAGGGATACAGGGATACCAGGGAAGGCAGAGAGAAACAACCATCCCTCAGCAGTGCCATAGCAACAGACCAGCCAATCAGCATGCTCTGTAGCAGAGCAGGGAGCACACACTTCCCCATGCAGAGCTGGTGGAGGAGGGTGGATAGAGGAATGGAGAGATGGGTTGGGGGGGAAAGAGTGACACAGGCCCCAGGGCCCGTGCTTGCTGTCCTCGCCTCCAGGTTCTCACAGGACACAGGACACAGGCCAGGAAGTTCCCAGTTCTCCAGCTGTGTCCTCCCTCCCTCCTTCTTGGGCTCCTCTTGAGCTGCAGCCCACTCCAAAGGTGGCCAGCTGCTGGAGATACCCTCATAGCCCAACCAGGGGGCAAACAAGATGCAAAGGCCCAAAAGGCTATGCAGCAAGACAGCCACGGTCAAGGGAGGTGGGCTGGGGACTGACCTGTGGCCTCTAGGATAGAGCCCAGGCCCCAGCGGGCAGAGATATATGGAGGCCAGAGCCGTCAGGTCAGCAGGACAGTCCCTCCTCTCTGCCTGGGGTGGTAGAAACAGGGCCTAGAGCCCAGGGGCCAGCATGTGGCCCAGCCCTAGTGGGTCCTCTGCCACTGGGGCCCAACACTCCCTTGGGCTCCCAGCCCACCCCTCTCCTCCTGGCCACTCCCTGCTCAGGACCCTTCAAGGAAAGCCTTGTGGGAGGGTAGAGAGCTTACAGCCCTCAAAGCACTGACCTGCACACACTCTGTACAGTCTGCTGGAGCCAGTCCCCACCAGTGACATCCCAGCCCCTCAGACACCTAGCACACAGGGCACCAGCACCCACTCCTTGGCTAGTGCTATGGACAATGGGGCCAACCATGGCAGGGCAGAGAAGGAATGACCCATCAAACAAGCATGTGTGGTGCCAGGAGCTGTGCAAGGGCAGGAGTGGGTAGAAGAGCTGTGAGCAGAGGGTGGACAAAGCAAGGGGGAAGGACACCTTCGGGGCGAGCCAACATAGATAACACCCATGGGCCTGACTAGACGGAAGCCACAGCTCAGAGTGGCCAGAAGTCTCCCAGCCACAGGCCACAGACGGGAAGTTGTCCTTGCCTGGGCAGCGGGGGACCAAGCCCTGGTGGGTGTTCCCTACTGCATAGGCCTGGGGATGCCAGCAGGTACCCTCTCCTTGGGAGCCAGGCGAGGTCAGTGGAAATGGTCACTGAGATTGGAAGGGACGCCTGAGATTGGAGGGGATGGCTCCCATCAGGGTACCTGGGGGCACAAGCACCTGGACAATCACACATCAAAATCACAGTGGGTTCTCGGTGCCACCAGACCAAACACCACAGCAGGCCAGGCGTGGTTGCTCACGCCTGTAATCCCAGCACTCTGGGAGGCAGAGGTGCAACAACTGCCTGAGTCTATGGGTTTGAAACCAGCCTGGGCAACTTGGCAAGACCTTGTCTCTACAATAAAATCAAAAAATTAGCTGGGCATGGTGGCACACACCTGTAATTCCAGCTACTTGGAAGGCTAAGGCAGAAGGATTGCATGAGCCCAGCAGGTCGAGACTGCAGTGGCCATGAGCATATCACTGCACTCCAGTCTGGGTGACAGAGTGAGACTCCGACAAAAAAAAAAAAAACCAAAACAAAACACAGCAGACAAAAAGGCAACGTGGAGCTTGCTCCCAGTTCACTGGAGTCTTGGCTGTGGGACCATCTCCTGCACTATTTCTTCAAGGGGCAGGACACAGGGACACCTGGGGGTGGGTCAGGAAGACTGCCCAGTGCAGAAGTCTGCAGGGGCACCATCCTGAACACCATGGCAGCCTCAGGGCCTCAATATCACTCAATGAGGTCCTAGCCCTGGCGCAAGGAGCACACAACAAACATCAGAACAGACAGCAGCCTGCAGGACTGCTAGTGTCTTACAAGAGCACCAGGGCTCTATCACCTGGGCCCTGGCACTCGCAGGTAAGATTTTAGCCCTAATCCCACAGAAGCTCAAGTCCTGCAGTCACACAACCCTGACTGCAGACGAGCTTCCCTCACACCACAGGAGACTAAGAGCCACACCTCAGAGGCTCACCCTGCCTGTCTCTGGGAGCCTGTAATAAACCCAGACATCCTTGACAAACGGGAGGGGCAGCCACATGGGTGGAAAGTGAGCTCTGGAGGGCACCAGCACCAGCCTCCACTCCAGGGCCCTCACAGGCTGTGGTTGCCTCAGTCACCATGGAACACTGCCCTGAGCAGGCTGTGATCACTGACCCTTTGCTCACTCATTCCGCCTCCGTGGATGAGACAGCCATCCACAGAACTGGGCCTGGCATAACATCCAGGGTGGTGGCTCATTACAGTAAGAGTCAATCAAAGGGAAAGACACATGGGGGAAGTTGGGGAGACCAGATGCAGCTTCCAGAGGCCACCAGTGGAGTCTCACAGGACAATGTGGGGGCTGGGCACAGGTACCCACTCCCTGCCCCTCACCAAAATCCCAGACTTTCGAAGAGAAAGCAGGTGTCCAGCTGCGCCCTTCTATTTACCACAAACAGCACAGGCGCAGGGAGCCCCGCTTACCATAAATGGTGGTGCCCCCCACATCCGAGTTACCCAGCACCAGCCAGCAGCCTTACCAGCTGGGTGTTCTTGGACCCGTGTGTGAGTTCTCCTACGCATCACACTAACACAGTGCCCCTCAAGTTAGGAGACAGGGCCAGGCACATGGCAGTACTGGTCACCCTTCCAGGCAAGAAGTTCAGCCCAGGAGACTGCACACGCTCAGTCCCAACCTGGCTTCACCGTGTGGCTTTTACCTTCCACGTTGTTGTAGAAATGACAGGAGCGACTGGCTACCTTCTTGCGGCACAGGTGGATCTGCAAAAGGCCAGGCAGAGTACATGGCTGGAGCAGAGTCAGGAAAGGACTCAACCTTGCCCACACCTCACCATGGCCCCCTACCATACCCTCAGGTGTACTTCACACCCTAGCCCAGCCCAGCAGCAGCCCAGAACCACAAAGCCCACCTGAATGTGACTACTCTCCTGCTTCTTCACCTCGGGGTGGATGCACAGCTGCTCCCGGGAGCCTAGCACACACACCCTGGGCCTGGCGAGAGAGAGTACATGAGGTCGAGGAGCAGCTACTGCCAAGAACAGCCACAGTGTGGACCAGCAGCATGAGCTAGGTGGGAACACATGGGAAATCGATAGCTAAGGAAGCTATCGTAACTGGAGTGAGGCACGGGCTTGGAAGGGGCCCAGAGACAGGTGGGGGAACCTGGACAGAGGGATGTCCACAGTGCCCCACGACCTGACCCCATGCACAGGAACCAGGGTGGGATGTACAGAGTCCTCAGGCTCTGGCATGGGGTAGGGCTTCCTCCCACTTCACCAGGAAGGTGCACTGGGGGCAGGTCCTGACCAACCTCAGCTGACACAATAGTGCCAGCAAGGAGCCCAGGTGCCAACCGGGGTCATCAGATAAACGCAGAGCTGCACTGTCACAATCAATGGCCTTGGGGACAGCCCAGCCTCACCCTGCCCCTGAACATCAGAGCATGCACACCTCAGGGAGGCTCTAGGTAGAGTGCCACCTACAGCCACACAGCACAGGCTGTGGACCCAGCATGTGCCATGCCCCTCCATAATCATGAGGCAGCTGTGAACCTGCCTGACCCACCGGTAGGAGGTATTCCGAAGCTCGCCGATGACCTGCGTGAGCTGCGAGTGGGTCCTAGAGGCATAAATGATCTTTGGGATGTCCGTGTAGCAAGCTGGCCAGGCAGAAGCAAGCACAACGGGTCAAGACTCTGCTAAGAATCTAATATCCCAGATACTCATTTATCCAAAACCGGTTAAGTAGCTATCTGCAGTTACCCCGCTCAGCAAAAGCCCCACCCCTAGATTTATACTCAGGGTGGTGGGAAATGATGTGGCAGCTACAGCATCCTCCTTGCTCAAGTATGCACAGGAGATGGCAGGAAGCCTGCTGGGCCCACTCATCCCCAGCTCCATCCCTTCCAGACCATTCCCACATGAGGCCAGGAGAGGCCTGAGAAGCAGGGTCACCTATGGGGTCTCCGTCAGCAGCCGCAGTCCCCCAGGACAACAAGGGCTGGTCGAGGAACAGCTTCCCTTGCACCCTCTCAGCAATTTTGTGGGCAGAGATGGAGTCCCGGAGGTGTTCCCGCCAGGCCAGCGTGGTGCAGAGCAGGCAGAGTGTCTTTCCTGTGCCTGTAGGGCTCTCCAGGATGCCATTCACTTTCTGAATGGAGTCAGGAGGAGGGGTTATGGGAAGCAGTGAGGCTTCCTACCAAGACAAGCCCCGTAACCAGCAGGGAAGCTCTTCCCAGAATCACAACCCACTGTCAGGTGGCAAGAGCCCCATGAGACCGTGGGTAAGTTCACATGACATTCTTTACTCACTCTCAAAGCCCTGGTTGAATTCAGTTCTCATTAGCAAAAAAGTTGCAAAACATTACCCAAATGTGACAGTATTTTTCAGTCTAATATAAACAGCAAGATGACTAAATAGGTGTCAAGTCTCAAAATAGAAAATTGCTCTGCGTTTCTGGATCCAGGCATATACACTGTCCTATCTAAACAGAATCTGATGTCCTACATATGAGCTCTCATGTGGGAGCCTGAGCAGGAAACTCGGGGAGGGGCTGAGAGCAGGGTGCCCCTCTTCCACCTCCCTGCACAGCCCTGAGGTTCAAAGGCTTTCCAAAGTGAAGGCTCGGCACCAGATACCCCTCTAGACCTTGGATGGTGGCCACTCCTTGTCAATCTACTTCTGCTCAGACACCACCTCTCAGGAGAGGGCGCCAGGCACTCCCAAGCCCATCACTACCAAGAGTTACCATGTTTGTTTACTTGTTGATTGTCTCTCCCACCCCACCTGGAGCATCAGTCCCTCACAACAGGGCTTGGCTGGAAAGGTACTTGAAAGCTCTACCCATGCCACTTGAGGGAAAGGTACTTGAAAGCTCTACCCATGCCAATTCATTCCCAGTTCAAATTCAGGACCTGCAGTTTTACCTTTTGCAGACATTCCAGGACCTTGGTCATGTACTCCTGCTGGCATTTGTACGGCTGGAAGGGGAAATCCACCGTCACACCATTCAGGATTATCTTGGGCATATCAGCCTGTTCTCAGGAGGCTAGGGAGGTCAGCTGAGACGCAGGTTGCCTGTGTCTGAGAGAGACAGCCTACTGGGAACATCAGGGTCTTGGTCACTCCAAGTAAGTGGTGCCAGCAGGAGGCCAGGGACACACTGTTGTTCTCCTTGGAAATTCCTAGGGCACAGATGTGGGGAAAACAACACGACTCTGTTTGTGGACAGCCTTCGTCGGGTAGCAGGCCACTGGCAGTGGTGTCCTAACTCCCTCCCACAAAGAAGGGCAGAAGGCAAGTCTGCTCTAACCTTTCCCAAGGGACTTGGGAGTGGAGGCGCTGAGTGAGCTGCCCACCCCACACAACTCACAGGAGCCGAGTCAGGCACAGCTCTGCCATCTCCACCTGCAATAATTCGGTTACCTGCGCAAAAGTGTGAGAGAGTGGGGAGCCGGCAGCTCCTCCGGGCCTGGCAGGCGCGCCGTGCAGAACGGAGTGTCTAGACCTCCTGTCCTGCGTCTCCAGCCCTCCGCTCGCCCGGCTGGGGCCAGTTCTCAACCGCCCCGTAGGCAACCCGGTGTAAACAAACGAACGGAAGAGCATCCCGGGATGCCGATCCGTGCAGCCCCTCAGCAGGTCACTCAACTTCTCTAGGCCTCAGTCTCGCCTGGAAACTGGGACTTGCAGGCCAGAAGCCTGCACACGGAAAGAAGACCCCTCCCTGGGGCTCCGGCCACGCAAACCACCGCGGACTGTAAAAACGCCGCCGCGCCCCGAGTTCACGCGAGCAGGAAACTACAACTCCCAGAATTCAGCGCGGCCAAATCCCCTGCCTACGGCCCCGAGAGTGGCGCGGGGCCTGCCAGGAGCTGCAGTTTCGGAAACCGTAGGCGTCCCACGAGCCCCCCAGGGTAAAAAGGCCAGTTGCAGGGTCTCCGCAATTCACGGCTCACTCGTGTCCGCGGGAGGCCTCCCGGAACCGCGATCTTCAGCAGCTCTGCGGACTCCAGTGGAAGTGCTGCCACCGCGTCCTCCGCCGTCAGCCAGTTCGGACTTCGCGGGCTAAGGCGCGCAGTCGCCGCTGAAGCCTCCGCCCTTCCGCCCCCACATCCGGTCCTTTGCTTTGTGCTCCCGGCGGAAATTGCTCCCCGGCGGAAGGCGTCCGTCAGCTCCTGGGCAACTAGAGGTCAGCGCGGCCCGTGGTACGTCGTGTCCGGCGCCGCTGCTTCTTCGGTGATCCTGAGCCCAGTAAGCGGCGCTTCCATCGCCCGCAGGCAGATATCTGGGGTTCCGCCGTCTCCTTCCTCGATGTCGTCTTCCGCCAGGGTCCCCATTCCACTCCCGCCTGCCTAGGCCATGTCACCACCACTGCCCAGGCTTTGTGCGGCTTCCTTGCTTTGCCACCCTCCTCTCGAAGCACCCAGAAGCGTCTTGTTATGGCTCCAGTCTGTGTCGACTGCTTTCCTCAAAACATGCAAAGGACCGCCCGTGCCCCGGACTGGCTCCTAGAGCCATCACCACCTCGTCTCTGCTCCCTCCCCTTCGGCCAGCTTCTGTTCCGGTGTCCTCTACGGGTCAGGACAGGTCCCCAGCACCTGGCTCGAGCTGACAATCACTCCATCAGAGATGTTGGTCTAGGGCAACCCCAGCATGTCCCAGAAGGCACCAGGAGGACGTTGCTGCAGCTGCCCTGACAGTTCAGCCAGCAGGCAGTACCTGGCTGAGGGCCTCTTCTGGGCTCTGTTTAATGTCCAGATGTTTTCCTGCTGATGGCACATGTGTATGCCCTGTGTGTGCCCAAGCTCACTTCTGTGGAGTCATGCTTGGGGAACCCTGGCACCCACCTGGTGGAGGAACAGTAGACCCGGCCCCACATGCATTGAAGGGTCACCAAGCACAGGTTTCAGTAGCACCTATGCAAGCACTGCCACAGTTATCCTCCTCATGACCTCTGAGATAAGTCCTCTCATGATCTGCACTTCATGTGTGAGGACACAAAGCACAGAGTGGCTGCTGGACTGCCTACAGCCTGTTGAGGAACCCGGAGTTTTACCCTTCACCTTCATACCCCATCTCCTGAGAGCAGGGGCCAGGGGATTGGCCTGAAGTCTGCGTCTAGCTCTGGGTGTCTGCTTGTTGCCAGTTGCTGTAGGAGCATTCTTGTTGGCCGAGGACTATCAGGAGCCCTTGTACCCCTGCCCTTATCCTCTGATTGCTGATGTATTCACAGCCCCCTAGCACATAGTAGGTGCTTGATAGATGTCTTTTGAATGACTGAGTGTCCTTCAAAGAACAGATTTAATTTCAGGAGAGCAATGCAGAGGTCCAAACTATAAAGCTGCAATTTATGAAAACATCTTTGAGATGGCTGTTCATGAACTTCCTTGTTGAGAAGGTTGACCTTGGTGAGAAGTCAAAATCTGCTCCAAGGCCCAGCACCATATTGAGACAAACATTTAAAACACCTACTGTGTGCACTTACTAGTGCAGACTATGTACATCTACTATGTGCCTGGCACTATTCCAAGGGCTTCCCACAAAACTGGGATATGGAGGCTCAGAGAGGACATGCCCAAAGTCACAAGTCTAAAGAAGTGCAGTCCCCTTAGCCTGCCTTGGCGGGTTCCAGCCTCTTCCCATGAGAGGACTCTCAGGTGTCCTAGCACCTGAGTTCCAGCACCTGGAGGTGGGATCCACCTGAAGGACATTGACTGTCCCCATTGTAGCTGTGGTGACATAGAGGATGAGGCTGCACTGTTGTGAACAACTTGGTGAGTGTCTCCTCCCTTCCCACTCTTTCCCAGAGCTGGGTTCCCAGGAATGGGCACAGGGCTCTGCATATGTTTATTAGTTTTACATGACTTTCAACAAATCACCACAAATTCAGCAGCTTAAAACAGCCCTCATTTATTAGCTCACAGCTCCTAGTATCCCAAGGTGCACCCACATTGTCACCTGGGCTGAGTTCTCATCTGGAGGCTGCAGGGCAAACCTGCCTCCAAGCTCATTCTTCTTGCAGGCAGGGTTCACTTCCTTGTGGTTGAGTGCTGACTGTCTTGCTGACTGTCTTGCTGGCTGTCGCTGGGAGCGGCCCTCAGGTCCTGGCCCCATGCCCCTCATCTTCCTTGCTTTGACTCCCCCCACTTCTTATTCAACCAGACAGAGGAAACTCTGCTTGGAGAGGGTTCCTGTGGTCAGGTCAGGCCCACCCGATGATCCTCTGTCTTAAGGTCTGCTGTGCCACACAGTGTAACTCAGTGCCGGCATCAAACCTACCGTACTCATGGTGCCAGGTCTGCACTTCAGGGGGCAGGAATCTCTGGAGTCCCTTAGGATGGGGTCAGCTTTGGATGCTCCCGACACCCTCCCAAGGCTGCCCCAACCTGGCCCCTGGGTTCAGGCTTGTTCCTGGTCTTTCTGAGCCAGTCTCGTCTCTCCACAAGTCTCCTGAGGGTCCCCGGAGTGTTATTCCTGGCCCTATGCTTTAATTGCTTCTCTTGGCCTCTGAGGCTCTGTCCCTAAAACAGGAATGACACTTTATCTGCCTGGTAGACCCTTCCTTTGGGGGTTATGAGGAAAGGGGAAGCAGGACAGCACCTCCTCTTTGTTGTCTGGGGACCAGTGTCATTGTCTCATCTTACACACAGGAAACAGTCCCAAAGAGGTCAGAAACCTGCCCCCAGCCACACAGTGAGTGGATGTCAGAGCCAGGGTTAGCACCCTCCTGGACCTCCCTTCAGAGCCCTTGTTGGGACCTCACCACCTCCACTCTTCTCTGCCAGAAGCTGCCCACCTTTGGGCTCCGAGGAGGTGCCCTGGGAGGGCTTCCGGGTGCCCAGCCCTGTGTCTGAAACATCCTGTCCTCTCCATACAGACCCGGGCGGGGCAGTCGCCATGCCCAGCTCTGCCACCCCTCCCTGTCGGCAAGATCTTCCTTCGACCTTGCCCCTGCCCCGCTCACCCTGGGGAATAGGGCTTATCTCACTATCCCCCTAGTGCACAAAGCCAGTTCCGGGGAGCGGAGGTTCCTGGCGGAGCGGTGGAAGGATGGGCGTCTGGTGGCAGTCCCCCGCCCTTTCCTCCCCTCCGTCCCTCCTCCCTCTCCCCTCCTCCCTTCCTCGGTCCTTTCCCCTGACGGCTGCAGACCCTGTCGTGGCGAGGCGCTTCCTCTCCCCTCCCCTCCTCTCCTCTCTCCTCCCATCTCTCCTCTCCCTCCCTCTCTCTCCACCCCCTCCCGCCGCGCCCGCCTCCCGCCCGCCCTCTCTCTTTCCCCTCCCGCCCCAGCACTGCAGCATTCGCCGCCTGCAGCTCCAGCAGCCGCCTGCGTCCCTCCGGTCTCCGCAGCGCCCGCCGCCAGCACCATGGCCAGCACCGTATCCGGTAGGCCCCTGCCCCAG